TTTTTTTTGGCATCTGACGGCAATTTCCGAACCAATTTACCGCGATTTTTGGTGAAATACGATATTTTTGGATCGATTATTGTCTGGGTGGCCCGAAGTAATACTTGTCAGATTTGCCTATTGGAGCAGGGTAATGGTGATTTTGATTCTCTGACATGCAGTGGCATCATTCTTTCGTAGATACTAATGAATAAATCTTAAAAAACCGGGCACCCTTAGGAAGTGGTACTCGACTTCAGTACGATAATAAAGCTACTCTTGCTACTATGCCATACAGCAGCTCAGGAAGTCTTAAACGAAGCTCATTTTGCTCATTCTAGCGGCCTAAAAAGGTTTTAAGCATTCCCATGAATCTCACGGTTTTCCGGCAATGCCTTTAAAAGAACGCCACTCCTGTACAGAGATGATTCTGATTCAAAATCACTATAATAAGCAAATCATGATTCTTCAGATCACCTGTTTGACCGTAGCATAATTTGCATAAACAGCTGCACCGACGAAATTTAGTGCTCCAGCCAGGATAAATGCTGGCCACCAGCGTCCCGATGATTCCACCACCAGTCGTGCTGTTAGTGGACCTACGGTGAGTCCGGGTAATGTAGCCTGCAACTGGCAATTTCTGGGAGAGAACAGGACTGATTTATCAAGCAAATGCCAAAACACTGAGGAAAAATTTCAATCCCCTAAATCATGTACTTTTTTTGTTAAGGAAGTCATTTTTTTAGCGTTTGACGCCAAATTCGGAGTCAATTTACCGCATTTTTTGATGATTTATAACAATTTTGGTCTAATTTTAGTGATTTTTTTTAATGATTTTAGTAAACTTTTAGTGACTTTTTAGTGTCTTTTGGACTAATTTTAGTATTTGTCTGGTTAATAGCCTACCCTCAGTCACAAGCCAAACGCCTAAAAATTTGCCTTCGTTTGATCAAATTTCGGTATTCTCTTTGTAAACGCAATTTCGGTTCAGTCCGTTAGTAGAAGAAACGAACGCCTGGATCATTAGCAGGTTATAACGAACAGGTGGTGCAGTGTTGACCAAAGAAAATTATACTATGAAAGAGAGGAAAAAAGAGGGATAAATAGCAGCGCGCACCAGACTAGCCGGTGCAATCATGCGTTTTGTGTAATTCAGCCCATCGAACGATTGCCTATTAATGATTTTCACTGCTTTGTACTTTATTCTATGCAAAAATAGTTCATACACTGGAAAACAGTTAAGAATTTCACGCACCAACACATGAAAGCTGAATTCGAAGCCTTGAATGGTGAATATCTTTTCGTGGTCCCCAAGATAACAAGTTGCTGCGGACACAGACACACAAACACACACACACACACAGACAACTCCGTGACAATATGCGTTTTGTACTGCTGTTACACAGCACAAAACGCATAAAAAAGGAAAAAGAAGGTGAGAAATGAAAATAAGAAAATTTGTGAGATTATTATAAAGATAAGAAATATCTCAGTTCATTTAGTTGTATACATTTCTTACCATTACACCACGACTGGACCTCGTCAGTACGATGATTGTGGTAACTGAAGTTAGTGAAAGTTAGGGTCAAACCAATTGGCAACACCACAGCCGATCAAAGAATGAGCGATTTTCGTGCTAACTAGCAACAACAAAAAAGGTTTTTTTTTGCCCTTATTAGTCGTCAAGGAAATCTCTGCAAGCATATGGCTAATATCAAAACAACTGTTGTGTAGCCTTGCGAAAACAACAGCAAAAATGCTTACGATAGTGTTTGATATGGCGAATGTTATACCGGCATATTTGGGCGCAACATCCGCATGATTGCTCAAATGACCGGCTGAATTTAGTGCCAATGTGCCCATACTCAACGAGACCAATCTGGAACAAAAACACATAAAATAGCATTAAAAAAAACCAAGTTCAGGACTTTTTCCCGCCCAAAAGGGAATGCTCAAAGGATGGCGTCCAGAAGTATTTGCCTTTTTTGCGTTAAAAATTTTCTACGTGGTATGATTGGAATGGTCAATTAATCCAAAATTCCCTTTATGCAGCAACAAATTTTTTTTTTTTGATTATGACGTTTACGACGTTTCAGTTTTGGCATTTTTCCAAATATTCCAATTAGTGCATCAGAAAGTGGAAATATTTCTATATATATTATAGAAAAAATATGATGTATGGATGATAAACATTCGATTAAAACATCAAAAGTAAATGCAATTCTATAATTTCGTATTTTTTGAGCAAAAAAAAGACACTGACAAATGTTGTAATGTACCGAGATGATCTGGGCATTATTATATGTAACTACAAGAAGCCGTGAATTTGGGGTCAAAGGAAATCTGAGATTTTGAAAAAAAGTAAGCAGAAAACCCAACTGAAAAATTTTTTTCTTCCATGAACATTCTGCGTGTTTATCATCTCATTTTGCCAACTTGTCGGGGATGAACAAAGAGCCAAAACGATAACTAATTATTCAACGCAAAATACTTAATATGAACTTACAAGATCGCCAGGAAGAGATTTTTGACGGAAGCGAAAGCAATTAGGAGAAGTGCCGGAACTATAAGACCTGAGGCTGTGGCAAATATCCGTGCATAAATAAGTTTGATTTTTTTGCGATTCACCAGATCATCAACCAAGTGACCGGTCGCTAAAAATACAATCTGCTGCATGTTTTACATTAAAAATTTTTCAAACTGGTCACTGGTCACTTTGAACTGGCCAAGTACTGGTCATTTCTACTGCATTAAAAACCCTAAATTATTAAATACACCCTATAATTTTTGCAAAGAAAATTTTTTTTGCAATTTTTTTTTACATTTTTTCTTCACAATTTTACAATTTTTACGAAAAATTTTGCAATTTTTAGAATTGCAATTTTGCAGTTTTTAGGATTTTTTTACAAATTTATAGAAGAAAATTTAAAAAAAAAAGCACATTCACATCGATGCACATGCGATTTTGGTACGTTAATGCAATCGGCTTCTTCACATCTATTATTCTCACATTCTTTCTCCCTCCCTTATTTCCTTTATTCACT